ATCTCCAAAAATAGATAAAAGAGGTTTATGATCCGTGACCAAAACGAACCTTTTTGGCACAAATATTGGAAAAATTTCTTCACGCCAAAAATAATCGCTGCCGCCTCCTTGTCTATTTGAGAATATGAAAGTTCGGCCTTATTTAACAGGCGAGATGCAAACGCAATTGGTCTTTCGGAGCCATCGTCATAAATATGACTCAAAGTGGCTCCCAAAGCAAATTGAGAAGCATCCACTGTTAATTTAATCTTTCCATCAGGATCGAAATGGGCTAAAACTGACGAAGAGAGCAAAATATTTTTGGCATTTTCAAAACTATTATCACACTCTTTAGTCCAGTTCCACAGAACATCTTTTTTAAGTAATCTATATAGTGGCTGTAAAACAGCTGAAGCTTTTGGAAAAAATTTGCAATAAAAATTTATCATTCCTAGAAAAGATTTCAATTGAGTAACAGTTTTTGGAATAGGAGCTTTTTTTATGGCATTTATGCGTTCATCCGAGGTATGCAAACCACCTTTGTCAATTTTATGTCCTAAATATTGAACTGAATCAAACAATGAAACAAAAAACATTTATCTTTTTTAACTTTCAACCCGCACTCTTTTAAACGTCGAAAAACATCTTCCAAGCGCCCCAAATGTTCTTGGTCATTTTTACCTGTGACCAAGATGTCGTCCAAGAAGCAAACGACCCCCGGCATGACAAACATTTGTTCCATTATAGATTGGAAAATTGAAGGAGCACTAGTCACCCCATAAGGGTCTGGTATATGAAAAAAAACCCTTATGAGTTGCTATCGTGACGAGTTTTCTAGATTCGTCTGTTAACAAGATTTGTTGATATGCCTCTGAAAGATCAATCTTAGAAAATTTCTCCCCTCCTTGCAACTGAGAAAAAATGTATTCAATTCTAGGCAAAGGGTAACGTTGAACCTGTAAAACTGGATTCAACGTTACTTTAAAATCTCCACAGATCCTTATAGAACCGTTAGGCTTTAAAACTGGCACAATGGGCGTAGCCCAATCGGAAAATTCTACAGGTTCCAAAACACCCATCTTTACTAAACGCTCTAATTCCAGTTCAATTTTAGGTTTTAGGGCAAATGGGACGGGTCTTGGTTTAAAACATTTCGGGACCGCTCCCTCTTTCAATTTTAATTCAACCCGAAATTTGTTGAAAGTGCCAATTTTAGAGTCAAATGTTTCTTTATACTTGTCCATTAAATCTGAAATGTTTAAATAATTTATTATTTGATGTTGAGGCTTAGCTGAAACATATTTAATTTTGCCAATTCCCAAATCTAACATTTTAAGACCATTTCTACCAATCAGTGGTGGCCCCCCATTTTTTATGACATATATTTTCAAGGTATATGATTTATTTTCAAAATTAACATTCAATTCTAAATAACCCAAGGGTTCGAAGCCGATGCCAATATAATCTTTCAAAAATAAATCATTTTTATTTAATATGATAGATTTGAAATGTTTTAAATATAATTTTTCCGAAATAGCTGAATGGGCAAAACCTGAATCGGCCTCGAAACTGATAGGTACATTTTCAACTACTAATTTCACGTATGTGGGCCTTACATTTCCACTACAATCTAAATTTTCAAATTCTTCTTTAATATTAAAAATGGATTCTGCTTCATTGTCATTATTCGAGTCATCCTCTAAAAAATTTTGAGAAACACGTTTTTTGCACTGGGGTGCCAAATGACCCTTAATGCCACATTTATGGCAAATACAATTGCGATAAGCACACTGATTTGCAATGTGGTTGAAGCGGCCACAAACACTGCATGGATTTTGTGGCTGCTGCTGGCGGTTAGCACTTACCCCTTGTTGATACCCTTTCGATGCTCTACCATTTCCTGAATAAAATCCTTGTGCTGAAGTGCCGGGATGTCCCTGTTGATTGTTTGTAAAAGGTTTTCTCGATTTTTGTTGATAAAAATTTAATGGTTCGGATTTAACAACCACTCCCAAATTTTCTCTTGCCATATGATCACGAAATGCCGATTCTTTGGAAAGGGCAATTTTCACCATTTGCTGAAAAGTAGCCCGTGACGCATCTTCTTCCACGAGTCTGTCCAGAATTTTTTCATCATTTATGCCAATGACAAACACATCACGCATCACCGTACTAAGTTCCAATTGAAAGCCGCAATTGGATGCTAAATTTTTTACCCTGGCTTCCCATTCGGCAACACTTTCATTCAACATCCTTTTTGCGTTATAAAACTTAATACGTTCGGCAAATAACGATTTGACCGGACTAAAATGGTCTTGTAGCAATTTCACTAAGTTACCATAATCCACTTGTTCTGGCAAATTTGGGACACACAAACTTCGCACCAGAATGTAACAATCCTCTGTTAAAGTATTTAATAAAATAGCTCTTTTCCGTTCATTGTCTGTTATTTTATTAGCAATAAAATATTGTTTTAAACGCTCACTAAATACGGAAAAACTGGATATTTTTGGATCGAATATAGTCAAAGATCCTAATAGTCCAATGTATTGAGTTATTTCTGCTTCGGTATCCGTCATTTTGGTATTTTTATAATTGTATAATATATAAAAAAAATTCTGCTACTTAGGTACTTCTCACTGCACCAAAACTGCACTATACGTATACACGTGAGTTACTAAGTTCACAACTCGTCGCCAATGTTGAGTTTGCTATTAATTTGAATAGGAAACTCAAATATAAATAAAAGACACAAATCTACGTGAAATTCTATTTATTACTGAAAACCCAAAACCCACCTGCAAGAATGCAAGTCGTCGAACAACCCAGGACCACTTTAATATAAACAACTTTTTATGGTTTTGTGTGTATGTTGACATGCAGTAATTGTTTATATTAATCATCAAATATAATATAATATTTAAATATATACATACATAACACTAACAAAAAATAAACAAGACATTTATGTTAGAAATGTTTTTGTTTTGGTTTTGATTCACTACAGGCGGGATGTTACGTCAAAATTGGCGTAGAATTGACGTTCATGCCGATTGCGCTAATCAGGCTTGTGGGGACTCACCCAGAGTCTCGCTTTCTCGAAAATGACATATCTGGGCGCAAAGAAAATCCACAATGCAGTTTTTCCGTAATTCTCAATAAGTTTTAACGAGATGCACTGGAAAAGCTGTAAAAAACGCTTCCTTCTAAACAATCCCAATACCTCAAGGAATTTGTCGATTAGAATAGTTATCTGACGTAATTTACAACCACAGAACCATACTAAAGACTTCTAGGTACTCTTATAGACAATTTAATGTCCATCTTGTCGGCCATTTCACAATTTTTTTTTTACAATATAAATCACAATATCATTGACAGTAACAAATTTTGGAATTTTAGCATACACAACAAAAGTATTAAAAAAACCGCTACCTTTACCACAATCCAGAAACTCAAGCACACTAACGAAACACGAAACACACCAAATAACTCAAACAAGAGCTCATACCGTTTTATTGTTTTCACCCCTATATAAAATCTGTTTTTTTTTTTTTAAGATAAGTCAAAATGACAATATGTTGGCAATACAATGTAAAATTGTCATGCTTTCAAATTTTTTTATGTAGAAAAGGCTTGTGTTGCCAAAATAGTTACTTAATTTTTGACTTGGGGAATTATCTTTAAAAATTAAAACAGACTTTAGACTCTATCTTGGCAAATGCAGCTCTATCTAGCGGTGACTGATTTTCGCAAATTGTGAATTATGTGCTGAATCGTTTCTGTCAAAAAAGGCAAAATGACAGGTTTGTTTTGATTTGGGTTTCCTAAGGCTCAGAGTATCCTAGAATTTGTAGGAAGATATGACATCACATAAGCCAGTATAAACAGTCATAATCTAGATTATGCTTGATTATCGTCGCGGCAAATAGCTTAATTCTCCGAAACTTTTCCACTAAAACCTACCCTATTCTACATAAGCGAGATCCCATTGTTGAGATTCATGGAGTAGGCAAAACTAGTACGAATCCAGGTAAAAATTGAAATTTACGCCATATATCTGTAGATTATAAAATATCTGTTCGGTTTGAACTAAAAATTGTCATTACCATAAAGACAAATCGTATATTGAAGTATTAAAAAATTCGGAATGTTGGCTCGTTAAGATCGCGTTTGTGCTAAACTTAAAAAAAGTGAAAAACGTTGCACCCAAAAAACTCAGACGCGAAAAGACCGACTAGTCCTGGTGGCTGAAAATCAACTATTTTCTGATTCAGAAACGGTAAATAATAGCTTGTCAGGTTTTGCCTGAAGCCGCCTACCTCCATCTCTAAAGTTTCAAACGACAGATGTTGACTAAGAGATAAGTCACCTAGAAAACGAACGAACGGACCAAAAAGTTTCGGTTTTTAGCCACAAAACTAAGTTCGAAATAACGAGCAAACTTATGAGAGGATGGAATTTTTTGCTGTTTAACATAAGTATGTCAACGATGATAATTTAATGTCCATCTTTTTTTTTTCCGTTTTTTTGTGATAAAATTATAGTCAAAAACAATCCTCATTTCATTATGAGTACCTAATATGCCTAACGCCCCCGCTACATTTAATTATTTGAATGGAATTATTTGACTCAATCAGTCACAGACTGGTATCTGATTTTGATTGTATTTGGGTTTTTGGATTGTACTGTTATTGTTGTTGATACAAACAGAAATTAGGTTTTCTAGGCATCTACTTGCAATAATACAGCATACTACTAACCGCTTACTGGCATAATATTTATTATAATATAAAATTTTATTGTTTTTTTTTTCTTTTGTAATTAATTATATTGATATGTTTTAGTGTTGCTTATATCTTATGATTATCAAATCAATTGGGTTGCCCTATACTAGGGACTCAGCATGGTATCATTTTGTCGTAGTTAAATGTAAAAAAACAAAAACTAACAATCCACAAACTGCATCGTGTTGACAGTGTGACGAATCAAGAATATTTTTAGATGGAAAGGAATTTTGTTTAATTAAAATATTAATTTATTTATCAACATTAATTTATTTCGTATGTAGATACCTAATTTTCAAAAAAAAAAAAAAAATGGTTTTTTACACTTTTTCGTAAATCCTCTTTCCATCTGGAATTCCAGGTTTGTCTGAAACTGATAGAACGATAAGTTCCGATCCAGACAAAGAAAAAACTCGTTTCATTGTTCCTTTTTCAAATTTAGTTTCCACGGTGAGTATATTTGCGTCGAGAGAAGCGGTGTTCTGTAACAAAATAAACAATAATGATAAAATTGACGGGACAAAATTTTTGAAAGAGATAATCAAACGTATATTTATAGCTCTTTGGAAAATACAGGAACTTTACCTTCATGATTTTTCCATCGGGAGTAGTTTGAGTAGTCTCCTGACCAAGAACGTATTTTTGAGTACGACCATTAGAACCAACCAAGGTAACATCGTTGCCACTAATTAAAATTTCATAACTCATGCCACCTTCAATGAAAGCTTTTGCGCGATCTTCAGGCATACCTTAAAAAAAATATATGTAATCTTAAAAGTTAGTCAAAATGGGGTGACTATTATAATGTTATGAAAGAATTTCATCATCCATTATATCAGGTCTATAGCAATCTCTGATTGTTTTTTTTTTTTTGAAGACCCGATATTATCCATTCACAAAAAAGGAAAAAAGCTGGACTGCAATAACTATCGGGGCATATCCGTCACAAGCACACTAAGCAGACTATACGGTAGAATCCTGCGTGATCTCATTGAAGAAGATTACGAAGAGAAGGAAGAAGAGCAGTGCGGCTTTAGAGCAAGAAGATCAGTTACAGACAGGAAATCTGCTAGACATTTGGAAACCCACCTCACATTTGTGGACCTACATAAAGTATACAATATAGTCCCAGTATCCAGACTATGGAAGAAATTAGAACAATCCAAGATCAATCACACCTATATACCGGTACTTAAAGAACTATATAAAGACTCAAAATCAAGAATTAGGATAGCTTTAAAAACTCACAGAAACGTTTATAGTGAATAAAGAACTACGTCAAGGATGTTGCATATGTCCTACGCTTTTTAAAATATACGTAGCAGTAGCACTGAAAAATTGGAAGAGGCAAATCCATGGAATGGGTATAGATAAATACTAGGTGGCTGTTTACTCTCCAGTTTGCAAATGATCAGGTCATAGCGGCCAAGTGAGAGTAAATATAAATAAACCAAAATATCTATGTGTAGGCACCCAGAACGAGAACTTGGAAATGGACGCTGGTCACGAAATTCTTCAATGTCAAGAATATGAGTATCTAGGTATCACATTCGACAACACCGGAACAGACGTGAAAGAAATAGAAAAGCGAATAGTTAAAGCTAAAAAAGTAATAGGATGCCTAAATGAAATTTTATGGAACCAGGAAATAATAAAGAAGAGAAAATTCAATATATAAGAGACAATGATAAATAGCAGCCTTATATATGGAGCCGAGACTTGGAGAATAACAGACAGACAAAAGAAAAAGTGGATGCAGTTGAAAGGGATGCTATTAGAAGATTCAAGCGAATCTCACGAACAGAGAGAATAAGGAAGGACAATATAAAACAACAAATGGGAAAAGAAGGCATGATACTTCAGGACGAGCCTGATGAATAAAACATAATAGTCTAAGAGCTGACCGCAAGAAAAGGAGTCGGTAACTTAAAAGGCTAAACTTTGTAGGAATAGATGCGCCATATGTAGGGCTTCAATAATCCGCCGGGTGACAACACCCCACCCCCTGCGTTCACTGTCTCAAGAAATTATTAAAAAGTTAAATTTTTTGTTTTAGGCGCCCTCTACTTAAAAGAAAAATTTCGGTTCGGATCGATTATTTATGGAAAAATATGACCTCTCATACCCGTCAGTCGGTTCGCGTCCCCTGCAAAAAGGTTGTCACCCGTGGTCGAAAAGTTTGGGACTTATATCATTAAAAAGTGCGTGAAATTCACAGTAAAAAAATACCCGGCTGACGCCTCAAAGTCCCTGTAAAGTCGAGACAGCCGGGCTGTTCCAAATCGCGTATAATAATGACATAATACGTTCATATTACCTATCAACCTATCTGTGCATATACGTAAGCATCTATCCTTTCTGATCGCACGTAACTCGAACTTGCCTATGGTGCAACCGCGAGTTATGTAATCAGCCCAAACTCGATTCACCCGACGTACGGTTCCAATCGTTAGCCACCAATCCACCCACCGTGGACCCTCAATCCGACGTTAGCCGAACACAGTCGGCGTGAATTGACTAATCAATAAATAGTGAGAGGATGTCACTAAAAACCAATTCTATTTATATCGCTCATTGTATTAAGTACATTCGTAATAAAAGTTTAAAAAATTCCTTTCTTCGAGTAATTTATTTAATTCGCGGTTTGGAACAGCCCGGCTGTCTCGACTTTGCAGGGACTTTGAGGCGTCAGCCGGGTATTTTCTTACTGGGAATTTCACGCACTGCTTAATGATGTAAGTCCCAAACTTTTAAGTTAAAGGCGCCATTCTGGAGTTTTAACTCATTTTCGACCCCGGGTGACAACCTTTTTGCAGGGGACGCGAACCGGCTGACGGGTATGAGAAGTCATATTTTTCCATAAATAATCGATCCGAACCGAAATTTTTCTTTTAAGTAGAGGGCGCCTAAAACGCAGTGAACGCAGGGGGGGGGGTGTTGTCGCCCGGCGGATTATTGAAGCCCTACATATGGCGCATCTATTCCTATAAAGTTTAGCCTAAGTTACCGACTCCTTTTCTTGCGGTCAGCTCTCGCACTATAAGCAATTGCTTTTTCTTAGGTTGTTGGAGTAATGGCTTCTAATTATATGAATAAAATGGTAAGCAAATGCTAGAGCTCTAAGTAATTGCTTAAAACACAAGCAAATGCTAGGAGATGCAGCTTTTGCTTAAAATAAACAAAGTTTTGCCAGAAACCGTATGGATAAAATTAGCTTTTGCTAATTTTTTAAAGCAATTATGCTCAAAAATAGTTAGGGATACCCTAGTCCATACTTAAAATAATTTACCTACGAGCGTGCGGTAGAGTGCACTTTACTGCACGTATTTGAAAATGGAAAGTAGCATTTTACCGCACACTATGCGGTAAAGTTACTTTACCGCATAGTGTGCGGTAAAGTGGACTACAAAGTGTGCGGTAAAGTGCACTTTACCGCATAGTGTGCGGTAAAGTAGAATTTGATATTCATAATCAAAATTCCTTTCTTTTTCAGAAAATGGATTCTTGATAATTTCTAAATCTAATCTTATTTCATTAATTACTCTGATTCATTAATTAATTTTATCAATGCCTTTTTTTGGAGATGTAGATGCTCATAGGTAAAATTTTGTACCTAACACATGCGGAAAGTGCCTTTACCGCCCTTAACGGCTTGACCGAACTTCGCTTCGCGTCGTTCGGTCAACTGCCGTTGCGTGCGGTAAAGTATCACTTTCCGCATTTGTTAGGTAAATAACTATTTCAGTTGCAATATTAGTTTCATGTAGTGTGCAAGCGTTTGCTCACCTTTTACAAAATGGCCGAATGCATATATTTATTTACGCAAAAAAAGTGTATTCTGTGAGAAGAAATTTTCAAGAGTGCCATTTTAAAAAACTTCATAGGTTTAATAAAGCAAATGTGGAATTGAAGCTAATCATTTTTTGGATGATACAGACGAAAGACGTGGAGGAGCACTTTCACCGCTAACTGAAATGAAAGTGCTTTCTCGATCTCTGGCAGCTCCTGGATATTAAAACTCGGTAGCGGAGGAAATTGGAATACACCAATCCGCAATTTCCAAGATCAACGATAGTGTTATCAATTGCATCCTGAGAAGATCTCATGGATGGATTAAATTTCCAGAAAGCATTGCTGAAATAAATGATGCAAAACGGCAGTGGTCATAAAAATATGCATTTCCAAATGCAATAGCACGCATGTCAGAATTCCTGAATTCGAATTATATATGGGGATGGATACATCAATAGGAAAGGCTTTTCAGACATCAATGTGCAAGCAACATGCAACGCTGAAGACATGTTCACTAGTGTAGATTGAACCTAATGAATAAAAACTTAGCAATTGCTTTTTCTTATAAAATTGAAGTAATTCCTTAAAATCTAATGAGTGAAAATTGAAGAAATTGCTTTTCCTTCCAGCAATTGCTTAAAAGGGCAGTAATTGCTTCTAGTCCAAGCTTTTTCTTGAAAAATTACAGCAATTGCTATCATTTGCTTAAAATGTGATGAAAAAATTAAGGAATTGCTTCTTCTAGTGCAGCAATTGCTTCCAAATGTTCAAGCTAGGTCGACCCCTGCATCTTTTACTTGGCTTCAGTCAACTTTGGTTCTTTGCGATGGACGAATAGTTGCTGTTGCGTCAATTAGGGCTGAATATATGAATGTGCGTACAAGAAAAATACATACATACAGTGTAGGAAAAAACTGCAGAGACGATGGTTTCAAAAAGTTATATCGATTTGATCGCGAAAATGTTGAGTGGTTGGCAGATTATTTTTTGACTGATACTGGTGAAACGCGAGGGGGTGCACTATCACTTTTAACTAAGATGAAAGTCTTTCTCTAGCAATTGTCAGATCCAGGCTATCAAAATTTTGTAGCTGAAGAATTCGGTGTTCACCAAACTACTGTGTGTAAGACAGACACTTCCGTACTTAATACAGTTTTGAAAAAGGCCAATATTTTTATTAAATTCCCTAGAAGTGCTGAAGCTGTTGTGGAAGCTAAATGGTTGTGGTCAGAGAGATACCGTTTCCCAAATGCCATCGGTGTGATAGACTGTACTCACGTGAGGATTCCAAAGTTTTAAGAATTCGGTGATGAATATACAGTGTGATTTTTTAAGTGTGCAACATATGGGAAATTTTTTTAGTAATAGCACAACCCAAATACAAACAAGGCCAAAAGTTGGTGCATGTCTGATAATCATATTAGGTGCACTTAGAATGGTTGCAAGTCAAACAGCATACAGGGTAGCTCAAACAATATCAAAATTATACTGTGAAGTACCCTTATTTTGGAAAATTCAGCAAAATGTTATAGAGAAAAGTTTTTGGAATTAAAAGTTATGCCTAAATACCAAATCCTGGCCTCCTAAAAAAAATTTTTTTTTTTTCGAAAAAAATCTATAATTTCTATATTTTTTTAATTTTTTATTTCCGCCCTTAATACTTCCATAAATTAATTAAAATCAAATCAATTTCACATAACTTTGTTCAAATTCAAGCATATTTGTAAAATTAACTTAGATTTTTAATTTTTTATGGAATCATAAAATTTATGTTTGTTGCAATGATATTCAACACAACTTTAAAATGTTGCAATTTTTTTTTTAATAAGTTAAAACATTACTAATGATAATAGCCATATTAAAAAAACTCTCCTTAAAGTGCAAAAGTTTTATTTCATTTAAGTAAATATTTCTACAATTTTGATATTTTTTGAGCTACCCTGTATGCTGTTTGACT